CAGTTACAAGCACTGGTCTGAGCGGTGCAGCTTTTTAAAACATTTTGTTGAATTCAATCAGTGGAATAAATACAAGACTACAGCTGCTGCATAGGTCTCGTAGCTTTAGTATATGAGGTGCCCTATCTACCAGATGAGCAATCTAAATGCCAAGTGAACTGTGCAACTTCACTGACAGTGAAATCTTTAGCCAAAGTTTTAACCAGGGGTTTGTTTTGATAATACTTAGGAAGCAGACTTGTGCACTGCCAGCACCGTTCAGAGGGATAATGGTGTCAAATATTTTGATCGCCTTGATGCTTCTAATTGCTCTCTCCACATGTATCATTAGACGTGAAATCTTCTAAGTGAATAGTGTGTGGTAATAAATCTTATCATTCGATTCAGGGTAGTGTGGGATTTGTACTGATGAAAACATTTTATCCCTGTATTCAGACATGAATGTCAGAACACTGAAAATACACTTGGAATCATGGTTCCAATCATCTCAGGAGAAATGCATATCCCAATTGCATTGAGTAAGGTGCACCAATTTTATGATGATCTTTTTTTTTAAGAAAATAAATGTGTTGACATGGTTTTTCTGCCAATTTTTCACAAGTAGTTTTGAGAAAACGTCATCTTGTTCTGTTTATTTATTTATTTTTTTCAGTTTTGTGTCATAACTGTCATAAATGTTCACTAAGATATGACATTTTTAACTAGATATATTTTTTGCTATGATATAGTATTTGTGATTGTTATATTTCTGCTGAGTCACGCTGTTTTCTAAAGTTGTTACTTTTCTGCTAAATTATAGTATTTCTGCTACAATGTTATAGTATTGTATACCAAGTTATACTGTTAAACCAATTCTTCCAAATTGTTATGTTTGTGCTAAATATTAACATTTCAGCTGAATTACAATACTTCTGCTATTTTATACTATTTCTTAGTAAGTTACAATATTTCGGCCAAGTTGCATTTCAGCTAAGTTTTTAAATTTTTGCTAAGTTGTTATGCTTCTGCAAATTGATTAAAAGTTCAACTACTTTTCAAATACTTATTTCAGCTTCTTCAGCTGTTTTCAGCAGACAGCTTCGCTTCAGCTTTACAGCATCCACACTGCATTTTCGCAGGAAATGCAAATTTTTCTAGTTGTGTGGATGCCCTCAAGGGCCACAAGATGCCACAAGAAGGATGATGAAATTCCTCATATCACCTGAGCTGGCTGTGGAGTACAACATGCTTGGATGACATGGGGAAAAAAAGTTCAGAGATTTGCGTCTTTTTAATGTTGTGTATGGTAAGTTAGTTTCACTTGAGACATTTGAACTTTAGAAAACTAAACTTTTTTAATAAAGTGTTTGAAAGTGTAACTGAGATTGGTTATCATGCAATTTGTATATATTTTTTGAGGCAATAAGGGAAAAAAACATTGTTCTTTGCAAATCATCACCAAATGAAGTAAGCTAAGATTAACAGCAGCACGTTTAAGCTTGATAAGCTGTTGTTAGAATTTATTTAATATTACTTTCTACTCGAGGATCTTTTTCTACGTAGCTGACGGCTGGTAACTGTGCAGGGGCGGATCTAGCAAAGTTTAGCCAGGGGGGCCGATAGGGCATTAACAGGGAAAAGGGGGCACAAAGACATACTTTTCTTTCTTATTCTCATTTAAAATGTCTAGCTTTTAATAAATAATTATCCGAATCTTACACCCAAAGTTTTAATTTGATGTAAAATGAATAGAAGTCAATTACTGTATATAGTGACTATTAAGTCTAATATATATACCCTAGTAAGCTATAGTACTTTTTCCTTTGGGAAGGTACCATCTGTGCAGTCTGCAATTTTGTTGAAGAAAGATGTTGAATCTATTTAATATTTCTTGAAAAATAATTGATTTCTGTGCATTTTTTTTCACACTGCATCAAATTAAGGTTGATTACGTCGATTAAGCATCATGAGGTGGAGCGTGAGGGGTGGTTCCCTATTTTTTATTTATTTATTTTTGTTGTTGCTGGGAGTTGGAACCCTATTAGTTAGGTTGCTTAATATTTACGCTAAGTACTCTTTAAAATACCAGAATAGGGAGGATGGTGTAGGTTTAAGTTTATTAAATTGATCAGTATTGCTGAACTATGAAATATTTTTTTTTGCATACAGGTATAACAGAATAGCTTTAGTGTAGTTATTGTTTTAAACTTGAGTATGAACTTATACAAAATGCAGTAAGATATTTAAAAAAAACTGTTTTGTTGATTAAAGAACACTATATCGGATTCATATCGGTATCGGCAGATATCCAAATTTATGATATCGGAATCGGTATCGGACATAAAAAAGTGGTATCGTGCCATCTCTAGTGCAGACTAATCCAAGTGTCGGTCTGTCTTGAGACACTGTTTACCCTAAAAAATGTATATATGAAAAGGGGGGAATGACATCATCACTGAAATACTTTTCTTTTTATTTCTCTCTCATATATTTCATATATACATACAGTTACAGTCAAGCCCGCAATTATTCATACCACTGGCAAATTTTGATTTAAAGTTACTGTTATTCAACCAGAAAGTTATTTTTTGACTGGAAATGACATAGGTGTCTCCCAAAAGATAATAAGATGATGTACAAGAAGCATCATTGTGGAAAAAAAACGTTTCTCAGCTTTTATTTACATTTGAGCAAAAGTGTGCAAGCTGTTCTAAAGTATCCTAATTACCCTGATTAATTGGGAACAGCTGGTTTAATCAAATCAACAGGTGAAAAACAGCAGCTCTCTGCAGTTGGTTTGTGGACAGTCATGGCTAAGACAAAGGAGCTCAGTGAGGGCCTGCAGCTGTGCATTGTGGCTGCTCATAAGTCAGGAAAAGGCTACAAGGCCATGCTGTATCTAAGCCACTTCAAGTTCCAGTGGCTACAGTGCAAAGTATTATTAAAACATACAAGATGTTCTGAACTGTGGAAAATCTCAGAGGATGTGGTCGGAAGCCAAAAGTGACACCTGTGCTGGCCAGAGGGCTAGTGAGAGAGGTGGAAAAGAATCCACGGATCATCACCAAGGCCATCCTGGTGAATCTGGGCTCTGCTGGTGGCAATGTCTCAAAGCAGACAGTCACTGCACACTGCTGGGTTCCACAGATGCAGACCAAGGAGGACGCCACTTCTCCAGATTAGGCACACAAAAGCTTGCTTGGCCTTTGGAAATGCTCATCTGGGCAAAGAAGACGACTTCTGGTCTTCTATTATGGTCAGATAAAACAAAAATGAATTGTTTGGTCACAATGATGTTTCCTTCATTTGGCGTAAAAAAGGAGAAGCCTTCAACCCAAAGAAAACCATCCCTACTGTCAAACATGGTGGCGGGAACCTAATGCTTTGGGGGGTGTTTTTCAGCCAATGGACCAGAGAACCTAATCACAGTAAATGGCAACATGAATAAAGAACAATGCATGATGATTCCCAACAACATCAGACAGTCTGCAGAGAAAATTGGCCTTGGTCAAACGTGGACATTTCAGCACGAAAATGACCCAAAACACACAGCAAAAGTGGTGAAGAAATGGTTAGCAGACAACAACATTAACGTTTTGCAGTGGCCCAGCCAGAGTCCTGACTTGAATTGAGAATCTGTGGAGGGAGCTAAAGATCAAGGTGATGGCAAGAAGACCCTCCAACCTGAAAGATTTGAAGCTCATTGCTAAAGATGAATTGGCAAAAATACCTGTAGAGACATGCAAAAAGCTGGTCTGCAATTATAAAAAGCATTTGATTGCTGTAATAGCCAATAAAGGCTTTTCTATTGATCATTGAGAAGGGTATGAATAATTCTGGACATAAAAGCTGGAAAATGTTTTTTTTCCAGCTTTTTTTTTTATGATGCCTGTTGTACATCGTCTTATTATCTTTTGGGAGACACCTGTCTCATTTCCGGTCCAAAAAAACCTTGCTGTTTTTATATAAAAGTAACTGTAGGTCAAAATGCGCCAGAGGTATGAATAATTAGGGGCTTGACTGTATACCACTCCCCTCCCTGCAAGACATTTACACCACTCGCCTCACCCGCAAAGCCATCACAATTGTCAACGATGCAACCCACCCCGCGCACTGTCTGTTCAGCCTCCTGCCCTCTGGAAAGAGATACAGAAGTCTCCGCTCCCGCACTACCAGGCTCACCAACAGCTTCATCCACCAGGCTGTGAGACTGCTGAACTCTCTTCCCTCCCGGCTCCCAGCCAGCAGAATCACCAGATTGGCAGAAGTATAGTAGACAGATTGGACTCTACCCCCCCACACTCTCCAACAAGGAAACACTCTCTGAACCAAGAACTGAAAACATTCCTGACTTGCATTGCAATTGCACACACCTGCTGCTATATATATATTTTTAGTATTCTTTTAGCACTATTTATATTATTATATTACTATTTATTACCTTATTGTCAGGGCTGTTATTGTTTTTGTTGTGCATCTGCACCTTATTGTTGTCAATGCCTACGCATGGGACAGTGTGAAACGTAATTTCAATTCCTTTGTATGGCAAGTACATTTGAAGAAATTGACAAATAAAAGTATTCTATTCTATTCTATATACTGTGGAAGAATTTATTTCACTTATGTATCATTCACATTATTTTATTGTATAATGCCTTGGTGCCAATGGATTTTAGCAAGTCTCAAACTCATGCAGTTAGACAGATGGTGGGGGTCTGGTAAGGAAGTTGAGGGAAGCAGACCACTCCACAGGGAGAATCTTTGTCTCTTTGAGACTCTGGGAGGTAGCAAGGGAGTGTGAACCTTAAGGTGTGAAACAGCTATGTACTGCCTTTTGTTCCTGTAGGAGGTATTTAACTGAGAGCCATGCTAGGCTCAGGAGAGACTCTGCTGATCTTCTGCTCCGCGATGATGCATTCTCTCACCAAGCTTGGTTTACGTTTTTGTGTTTCGATTAAAGAATGTTAGCTATCGCTCACCGCTTGTCTGCAGGCTTTATTAAATGGAAAACTTCCACTTACATATACGTCAAATATTTCTCATAGACCTGAAGAGTGTCAGATTAATGTTACAATATGGAATGTGGACTTGTGATCTAAATGTCAGATTGGTGTATCCACAGTTAAGAGTCTTAACTTTTCCACCAGGTCATTCCTGCTGATCTTCAATAAAACGCTCTCCATCACTTCTACAGCTCCGCTTATCTCATACTTCTGCACCATGAGATCCACCATTGCATGCCGCTCTGCCTTCGTAAGCTTGTTTTCTTGGATGGGCTTGATGTTTTTCCACAGCTCAGACTTGAGGTGCCACTTAAAGGTGTCAAAGTCCCCATCATCTAAATCATTCAGGATCTCGAGAAGCTCAGTTGAAACTTTCAGCTAAAAATCAGAGTTTAGTGTTAGTTATTTTCCATGTTACTTAAATTTAGGCAATATTATGTTAATGTAACTTTGTAACAGTTCAGAAGGGACTTCATCCCATCATCCACAAAAATATGTTATTTGTAATTGATCTGTGTTGGCCTTTTCCTAATCTCCAGTTAGATACTGGAGTCTAGATACTGGACTCCAGTATCTAGACTGGAGTCCAGTATCTAGACGAGTGACATGCTTCCTCCTTGCTCTAGATTCTAGAGCAAGGAGGAAGCATGTCACTCGTCCTGGCTGTTCATTGCCGCAGGAGTCCAGCTCCTTGACTCGTTCTTGCCACTGATTAGCTTTCCCACTGTTCTGCAGTCTTGACCTGATTACTGGGTCTAATTCATGACCACTTTTGCAATAAAAACATTATTCCATCTATTATTTCCATCCACAGTAATTATTACTTTGAAGCATGGAAATATTCTTAGGTCAACAGATATGACACTGCAAACACAGAAACAACAATAACGGGGGAGCCAGGGTAAAAAATCAAATCAACACACAGAAGAGCAGCAATAGTGGGCAGGCTAACAGAGCTTAAAACTCACCTTTGGTGTGACATTCACCTCTGGAGAACCTGAAATAAAAAAGGAAAAGACAATACAAACAAAAATTTACAAGTCCTGAAATATATTTTTGCTGCTATAAAACAGAAAAGAGTCAAAATGGAATCTTACAGACTTTTTTGTTTGTGTTTTTGCTTTTTAAGTTTTGAATTGTGCAAATTTCTTGTAACAGGCAGTGGACCAAGGACAGTTTCAGATCACACTTTCTGATGTGGTTCGTATGATTGGTATGTGTGGGCAGTGTTTGGAAGGTTACTTTTAAAATGTATTCCACTACAGATTACATAATACATGCCCCAAATGTATTTTGTAACGTATTCCATTACGTTACTCAATGAGAGTAACGTATTCTGAATACCTCAGATTACTTAATATATGATCGTGCTTTTACAACTACATGGATGTCCTATTATGTACTATTGGTTCAGACTTGAATTTCAAACACTGTACCTCATAAAATGTTATTTGACATAATCAAGGTCCACTGATCACTGAACACTGGCATGTTAATGATTATGAAACTAACCTCGCAGTCAGTTATAGTCAAATATAGAACTGTTTTCAGTGTGATGATCATAACAGATCACTACTGTCCACAGTTTTTTTTAGATATTGATAATAAAAACTGCAATGTAGTCACTGTGTCCATCCTTTTATATTTAGAATTGATTGTAAATTGACTCATGGTAAATAAATATAAAAAATAGCAAACTATGATATAACTGGGATTTCAATGTTTTTAAAAAAGTTTAAAATAATGTAAATTAATCTGCTCTGCTATAGGATTTTATAAGTGTCAGTCAGCTGGTTCAGGTGTAGCAGGAGGAGAGTAGTCAGAGGGAAACCTGCAAACGAGCAGGTTTAGGTCACAGAGACTGTTACCGTGGTAACTGACTCACAGTTGACTCTCTTTATGGAGCACACCCAAAACTCTGGACATAACCGATCCTGTGAGTTTTATTTTGTATTATCTCAGCTGCAGACTCATATTTATTTAAGGATGAGAGAGTAGTGTGTGCAGCTGTTTCCTGTAGGCTGGGTGACAGGCACCTGCAGGCCTGGTGGGTGTGGCCCTGCTAGGGCGCTGGCCACACCTGAAGACCATGCCACACACCTGCCGCTGATCAGGCTCATCGGGGGAGCTATTTAAGAGTGTGATGTGGGATGATTGTGAGAGACTCCATGTCAGTGTCTTGAGAGCAAAGTCTAAGTTGGTGTATGCCCACAGTCTATTGTTTCCCCCCAGGAGGAGCGTAGGAAGCCCGAGAGCAGCAAGCACTGGGAGTGCAGACACACGGGAGCGGAGAACGTGAGGCAATTGGGAAGAAGACACGGCACGGGAATCAGGGAAGAGCACAGGGTTTTTTTTGTGTGAACTGTTTACATCACTGTAAATAAACACACTGCTCATCATTAAGAATCCTGCATCTGGGTCCTCATTCCCCACTTCCCACGGTCTGCCACACAGACTTTGACACATGCAGCTTTGATATGATGTTAACAACTGCAGTGTATGTGTCGTGTCTTAAGATCAGACAAAAGTGCTTATAGAATGATAACATTGTTGGAAAATCGCTTGCTGCAAAAAAGAAAAAAAAAGTATAAATCAATGAATAATAAATAAAACTTATATTTATTGTTCGTCTTTTGCACTGAATTAAACTGGAACCTCATGATCTCATCTTTATGCATACTGTACTGTATATGGGAGAGATCACAAAGTTTACTTTGACTTTGAATAAAGTTGCATCTAAAAATCAGGAAAACAAAACGACTTTAGATGCAACGGAAGAACTTTCAACCCTCGTACTCTCCCAGCAGGGGTCTTAGAAATCCTCGAGGAACGGTGATGTTACTGATTGGTCAGTAAGCATTGATTTTATATCTGCTGACTTCTTATTTGAAACCAAACCTGCTCCAGAGCTGGTTAGGCTCACAAAATGAGTTAACGTGGATATTTACTAGTGATGTGACGTTCTGTATCGAGGCTTCGAAGCTTGTGTCGAGTAATTGAGGGAGCGTTCCCGCGATGCGCGTATCGAGGCTTGCTTCATTTATGGGAGGAGCTGAAAATGATGACGTCCGATGCCTCGCTGCCCGGCTGTACCACGTGACTGGTTCATGAAGTGGTTCGAACTTTGCCGCGAGATATGACAGCGATATAAACCCCTCAGACTTCATTCAAAATGTGGGTGTTTGATGGAGAGTTGCGGTTAGTGAGAGTTTGGAGACAGTTTGGAGGTTTATGAGAGTGAGGAGAGAAAGTCAGGAGAGAATGGAGCCAGCTAAGAAGAGGAGGATGTCCTCCCCTGTGTGGGAACATTGTGATTTTATTCCTCCCAACAAGGTATGTAAATTTCTACAGAAGATGTATTTTCATAACACTGATGGTGCAATACAATTTATGTTGAGCTGTCTTGACTTTTGTACAAGGTGAAGTGTTTGCTATGTGCCAGGGAGCTGGGATATAACAACAACACCTCATCCATGCTTAGGCACTACAGAGCTTTGCATGAGAATAAGGGGAACACCGATTGTGGAGCAAGACCAGGTGAGCCATCAAATGCAATGATAATATAGGATGCAGTAATGTTACTAAATGATATAACAATATTATACAACTGTTATAAGTTACGTGTGTGATATTTATATTTGTGCTTTGTCTTTATTGTCTTTCCTCAGGAGAACAATCTCAAATAGATGAAGACCTGGTTAGCATGGTGATTGAGGACTCCCAGCCATTTAGCATTGTGGAGGACAAAGGATTCAAAAGATTTGTTAAATCATTAAATCCTAGCTATGTTCTCCCCACTAAAAAGGCCATAATTTTTTTTTTAGTTTTTACAGAATAAAATGTGAACAGGCAGGACTGAGGCTCAAAGCCTCAGTGTGTAGCTGTCCATACCTCAACGTTACAAAAGCACAACCACTGTCCACACCCCAACCACACCTCACCTCACAGTAAATGATCATTTCCATTTTAAGCATTTCCAAACAATCATTTTCCATACTGCTAGTATAAATATACACAGTGTACTGCCATCACTACAATATACATGTTTTACACACTCCTTTTGTTGTTGACATTTACAGGCTGTGTGCAAAATGCCACACTCTTCAAATTCATGCCAACTAATATTTATACGTCCAGTAGGTGTCCTACTAGAGCAAATGAAGCTTCAAGAAGCTTTGCGCTGGGATGAACCAATTGGATGAAAAGCTTCAGTGCTTCATGAAGCTTCACCTGCCCATCACTAATATTTACCCTGATAAATTGCAAACTACTTCCATAGTACGGACAACCCCGAAGTTACCTGGATGAGGCAACATCCTGCTTTGCGGTACACTCTTCTGGTGAAGCGTCTGACAACTGCTACAGGAGACAGGTGGAGAAGGAGGCACAGCTGAAAGTGATTGAGACAGGTGAAGACAATTAGGGTGGGTCTGACAAGAAGAGTGAACAAACATTAGTAGGGGTGAGGGGAGGAAGACAGGACAAAAGACACACTGTGAAAAAGAGACAGATATTAAAGCATGTTGGTGTGGTCATTAGCACTGTTGTCTCACAGCCTGAATTTGTTTCCACTTGGCCGAGGCCTTTCGGTGTGAAGTTTGCATGTTTGCCCCATGTTTGTGTGGGTTCTCTCTGGGGACTCCAGCTTCTCCCAACGTCCAAAAGCGTAGTTAGTGAGGTTAGGTTAATTGGCGATTCTTGATTAAATGCAGAGTTGGCGAATAAACACATAGTGTAGTAAATAAGAAAAGCTCAGAGCATCAATGGATCTCTTAGTTACAGTGAAAACTAAAGGAGCTTTATCAAAAATTAAAGTTTTAAGCCTATTCTTAAAAGTAGGGAGTCCAAACTGGGAACTGGTTCCACAGGACAGCAGATCATTTATAACTGTGATGAACACTGTACACTCATATGTTTTGAAACTCATCATGTATAATTAATTAGACACCTGTGTCAAATTAAACCCCTTTAGGTAATGGCTTAATTATTGCTACATTAATACGTAATCTAAAACAAAAATCTGCCTCCTGGTTACAGCTCTGAATTGTCATGTCTTGGGGGTTTAATAAATTTGGCAAAATTCCTATCAATGACAGCTTCTCTATTCCAAGTGTAATGGATGCCGTCTCTCCTGATATCACCAGGCTTTCCCTAGAAAGTTTCCCAGATCATTTTCTGGACACCACTAAGACAGCCATGGATTCAATATGTTACTCCTGATCCAACTGGGGAGGGTACCAGAGGAAACTACATTTCAATATTGTTTTGGCAACATTAACACTGATTCAGTATTAATTTTAGTTCAATTGGTGTAGCTGAGTGACCATCCTGCCACTCCAATCGCCCTGTCATTTCCATTTTTCATGAAGAGCTACAGAGAATATGAGGAGTCTTCTTTTTATTTCTATAGTATTGGACACTATGAGAGAAAATGATGTTGCTGCAGGATAAAGACTTTACCTGCCATATCAATGTCATGCTCCCAGACTTCTTCATTGGTTTGGTCTTGAACTGTTACAGTGACTTCTTCTGTGTTTACATTAAAACGGATCTCAAATGTTGCATAGTAGTTTGGTCCAAACTCCATGTCAAATTCAGCTTTCTGAAAACAAGAATCGAGGTCAATGCCTTTATCCATGGCACGTTTATTAAGCTTTAGCAAGGTTACCATTCACAGTGGATCACCAGGGGCCTCTATTTCAGTCATGGTTCCTACTCAGTATATGCGTGTCCATTTTGAACAGGTGACAGTTCTACATGATCCCTTACTCTGTTTGTGGGTTAATTAACTAATAGGCCAGTAAAATGTCTTCTAGTACTTGCATCAAATTTATCTTAACACTAGAAAATGACTTTCATTCAGCATATCAGTCTACAGCAAAACTGTTTTGGAGTTTAAGGATGTCAGATTTTTTTCAAACACAGGAGTTTGATTCTTCTTGATGGTTGATATATTTTGTCATGTTTAGCAGCTCAACCTACAAAGCTTTATGTTTTATTGCTAAAGAGAGAATTCAGTGTTCTCTTATTTCTCTTTCTGTATCAGATGAGTATGAAAAACAAAGCTATTAAAATGCCTCCCATCTCTGTTTATATTTGAATTCAACATCCTCCAGGAAGAACTGGTATCCTGTTCTCTACAGTAGTACAGGTAGCACTAGTCATTTTTCTTGTATAATATTTACCTTGGGTTGGATTTTCCTGGCTGTTGGACAGAGAACAGTGTAAGTCTCATTTTTGATGAGTTTACAGTTGGAAGGCACCGGGATGTAAACAGAGTGTGGATGCTGTGCTTTCACCTTAAGGAGACACCAGAACATTTTATTTAGAGGCTTAATTTTCAGTAGAGGCCAAGTGACACATCAGAAATCAGATCACTTTCAACATCACAAGAATAAAATAACAAAAATAAAATATTTTTAATGTTTAAATGATTCCATTTGAAAGTTTCTGAGCTCTAATACACAACCATAACCTTTGAAAATAAACAGCTCTGTGAGTGTGCTCAGCGATATAACTGGAAAGAATTGTCTCTTTCTTTATTTACTGACCTACGGATGCTCAGATTCCCCAAATTATTTCCTCACCATTTTGTAATGTTTTTTTGTTTTTTTTAAATTTCATGTTAAACTATGGGGGAAGGTGGAGACACCAGGTTGCATCCTCTGTCAGAAGAGAGGAACCTTGGAGCACATTCTAAGCTGCTGTCCAAAAGCCCTGTGCAAAGGGAGATCCCAGCAGAGGGCCATCAAATTGGCCACCAACGCAGCAGAAGCGGCATCGAGGTGGTTGTGGATCAAAAGAAGAGAGGCGTGGCATGTAGGGTAGAGCTACCTGGACACAAGCTGGGGCTTGATCAACCCTAGCTGGGTCACCTGGGAGAAGGGGCCTGATTGTTGAAAGACCCGGAACCACTTATGAACCCAGGTTACATCACTGATGATGTAACATCAGTAATGTAACCTTTTGTATCGATGTAATACAAAACTGAAAATTAAACAATTTTCAGTTTTGTATTTCATTACAATTTTACATCTCATAAGTGTGTATGCGCACAAAGTACATTTTAGTGATTAGTATAAATACTAAATAGAGTTTAGTACACAATTTTGAAATGCACAAACATCTCAACCATTCCGTTGAGTATGGCGTTATTTTGTGCCTCTATTCTGAGTGCATGTAAATAATTTTTGCAAATACAAATGTTACATTTTGAGAAGAAAATTATTTTGAGCAAAGGAAAGTTTAATTTGAATGAACAAAATTCTTTGCTGCATACAAGAAATGTATTTCAGTGTTTGCTATTAAACATATACACACACAGCCCCTTTCGGTCAATTGTTGGTATTTGCTCTTGCTCAGATCTCTGCTCTGTGTGCTCACAGTCATCTGCAGACTTGCTCTCAGTGTGTCGCTCCCGCTGTCAACATCTCTGCTCCCTGCACGCACAACTCTTTCTGTACATTGTTATAAATGTGCCACAAAACCAACCAATCACAGATTTGGATGCAAAAATTGATTGGCTGTTTTGGTTGTAGCTAAATCCATTTTTGGTTAGTATGATTAATTTTTTTTTTTTTAAATATATAATTTTTAGGACCATTGTTGGTTTAATTCTCCACTGGATTTAGCTACACTTTGGACAGTGTTCCTGGAATGCAGTAGCTAGAGAGCTGATTGGAGACCAAAACAGCAAATCAGAATTGTTGCATCCAAGTCTGTGACTGCACGAGAGGGACTGTTATTGTATGTGTTATGGACAGTGTTGGTCAAGTTACTTGAAAAAAGTAATCAGTAACTAATTACTGATTACTTCCCCAAAAAAGTAATTACGTTACTTTACTGATTACTTATTTTCAAAAGTAATTAATTACTTAGTTACTTAGTTACTTTTTAAAAACACGATTTACAACCTGAAGAGGTGATAAAGCGATAGATCTTTCAGCCCAATTCTACTTTTCCACATAATCCATCATACAAAATGTAATCAAATGGAAAAGTCTCTTTTTTTAATTTGTTTTATCAGTTTTAATCTTTTAACTTTATGCATCAAGAAAAAACTTAATATGCAACATTCTCTGACTTGAATAAATTAGTTTAACATTTAAAGCTATTTTCTGCACATTCCAGCACATAAAATAAAATATTTTTTGTGTTTACACTCAGTCTTTCAAATAGATGCAAGTAAAACACAGCAGAAAATAAATAAAGTCAAAGACTCAGCGGTCCTGTTGCTCTATTTTCACCTGTAAAGCAGGACTACGGTAGGCGGAGGGTTACCCTGGTGCAGGTGTGCCGCGGTCAGTTGAAGAATCCGCGACTTTCTCTGTGAGTTTCCCATTACGTCGTTGCGCACTCGGTTCTTGCTTGGAAGTTTAGGGGGTTTTTTCGCTGTAAAAAGAAGTTTTCTTCCCACGCACGATGGACGCTAATGTTTTTGTCACTTTTTATGGAATCAAACTCAAAGTAAGGTCAGTACTTCCACGCTTTAAACGCTGCACGCTCATACTCTCTCCCACAATCGATATGTGATCCATTGTTGATCTGCACACAGCTGTTGTCACTAACGGCGCACTCGCTTACGTCACTGTCGTGAGACATTCTCGCAGGAAAATCACGGTTTTAGTAACGCAGTAACGCAGCGTTCCTACGGGAAAGTAACGGTAATCTAATTACCGTTTTTGCAATAGTAATCCCTTACTTTACTCGTTAATTGAAAAAAGTAATCAGATTACAGTAACGCGTTACTTGTAACGCGTTACTGCCCATCTCTGGTTATGGATAATAGCAAACACTGAAATACATTTCTTGCACGCAGCAATTAATTTTTTATCACTCACAATAATTTCATCCTCAAAATTCTAAATTCTGCCAGAGTCAGGGGCTTCCATTCAAGTCAAATATTTGCTTGAAGAACGCTCTCCTAGTGGATGCCAATTGTAACATCACAATCTCAAGGTATACTGGAGTAGCTCCCAAAATCATCATGTATGAAAAAGAGTCTGAAGACAAATGAAATGTGAACATGTGAACAGCATAAAACAAAGTGCAGCTGAACACAGAAAGATGCGTGATACTCGTCATCTCCAGCTGGTGTTTGGGGTTTTGCTCAGCCATCTAACATAATGAAAGCTTAGCTGTGTTCAACTTCCTTCATACACCTCAGGGAAAAAAAGAAAGTAAATGGACTGATTTTTATATCTCACTTTTAACTTGACACACAAAGCACTTTATACACCTAACCTCATTCATACCCATTAATAAAAGCACTTTTGTTTTGACATTATATTTAGCTTGCACTAAAAGTATTGAAAGCGATGAAGATATAGCATTTGATCCAACTTTACCTCGTGCAGAGGGACGTTGCATGGCAGGAGAAAAACATCAAGGTTTTGTGTCTGTGCTCCCATCGGTGTTGCTCTGACAAACAGTAAAACTTGGCCCTTAACTGGATTCTTTATGGTCAAAAACCTCTTTATGAAATCCCAGATAAGCCCAAAGGCAGAGAGGTGGGAGACTTCTACAATCACATGAGTATCTGTGATCTTCAGTGGCTGTAGGACGCTAAATCCATCATCGGAGAAGTTGATGACAGACAGCAAGTCATCAGAGAGCACAGCTGTGAAAACAGAGACAGTTTTTGTCACTTGTTCAAATCTAATTCTGAGGAAATGGCTAAGCACAACTGTCTATAATTTGAACAATAATTGGCTTTATGTGTTGCTAGGTTAGATTTTTTTCTCAGTTGGATAATTTTATTCTACAAAAAATACAAACCCAGATCTCCAGTACGGAGCCCCGCAAGCGACACTGGAGGAAAAAAAGTGAAGATGAACTCGCAAAGGTTTTGCCCTTGCGGGGTTCCATACTCTAGAGCTACAAAACATCTCAAATGTTTAGACATTTTACTGTTTCATGAAAAAGATTGGCTCATTTTCAATTTGATGGCAATGGCACATGTCAAAAGGTTTGGAAAAGTACGTGGTTCTTAAAAAGAAACAGCTGGAGCACCATGTAGTTAACCAGGTTAACTGACAACAGGTCAGTATTAAAAGAGCTTCTTAAAGAGACCGAGTTTTTAATTGTGGATCAATTTCAGAATAAGCACTGCTGTAATAGTGTTTTGTTGTTTTTCTGTTCCCAAGTCTGCAACCATGACCTTTGAAAATAAAAGCTCTTCAGAGTGGAACTTTGCAGTCAGTACAGTAATTTGTTCACCTTGATCTGTTTCACAATGTGGGAAGTGGAGTTGACGAATTGCATCCTCACAGCCCTTTATCTCAAACAGCGGCCCTGCTGCCGTCTTTCCAGTTGATTGGAGGATACTCTGATCCCACTGGATAATCCTGTACAGAACTTCCACCTCCTGAGTCATGTCAAACACCAGTCCAGTCAGAGAACACTGGAAGAGACCCAAACCAGGACACTTGAATCTGTGGGAAAAAAGAAATGAAGAAAGAAGAGGGAAATAGATGCATGGAAGTAAAATACTGTAGCACACAGTCAGTAGATGTTCTATCTACTGTTGCTGCACTGGCTATTTGAATAAATCAGTGCAACTTTAGAGGTTTAGACATTTCTAGATATTAGTGCTGGGCAGCATTTACATTTTTAAAGAGTGATTAATCTCATGATTCTTTGTGATTAACTGCATTGTCAAAGCAACATTCAATAATGAATTCAAAAGTAGTATATTATGAACTTATTATACCGTATTTTCTGGAATATAATGTGCACTTGAAATGCTTAAATTTTCACAAAACTCAACAGTGCAGCTTGTAAGCCGGTGCGCCTTACGTATGAATTCTGGTTGTGCTTACTGACCTCGAATCGATTTTATGTGGTACACAGCGCTCAAAAATCTGTCAAAAAATGTTTTAATTAAGACTTTGGTAAGCTACGAAGCTGCACTGCTTGATGGATTGTCGGAGCATTACAGCTACTGTAGTCAGGAGCCTTGCGGAGCAATCTGGGTCCAAAAATCCACCTACTTCACGTCCCAAAGTCAAATCAACACTGCGGCGTCACTGAGAGTTAAAAACTGTCCAAATTCTTTCATCTTTAATAAAATGATCAGTGTTGCTGCTTTACTGTCCTGAAGCAGTGCAGCTGTGCACCATTGTTGCACAGCTGTCTCAAGCCCAGGAATATCAGCTTGTCACAGTGTAATCATGCCTTCAATATTTGAGATATGATGCTCAAGAACACACTAACTGGCCTCACACTAACACAGGTTAGCAGAAGATCTGGCATAGACTCATTGAGAGCACTGGTCTTATATGCAAGGCAAGCCATTTGCCAACAGGTGCAAATGGCAAATTCAAGGTCCTTGAATCACTACCTTATCGTGGTGGAGGGGTTTGTGTGTCCCTGGGATCCCAGGGGCTATGTTGTCTGGGGGCTTTTGCCCCCTGGTAGGGTCTCCCATGGCAAATTGGCCCTGGGTGAGGGACCAGACAAAGAGCGATTCATAAGACCCTTATGAAAAGGACACCGAGGGAACAGTTTACCCTGCCCGGGATAGGGTTACCGGGGCCCCGCCCTGGAGCCAGGCCCGGGGAGGGTGCCCGAGGGCGAGCGTCTGGTGGCCGGGCCTTAGTCCATGGGGCCCGGCCGGGCACAGCCCGAAGAGGAGACATGGGCCCATCCTCCCGCAGGCCCACCACCCGCAGGAGGCGCCATAGGGGTCGGGTGCATTGTGTGTCGGGTGGCGGCCAGGAGCGGAGGCCCTGGCGGACTGACCCCCGGCTGCCAAGACTGGCAATAGGGACATGGAATGTCACCTCTCTGGTGGGGAAGGAGCCTGAGTTAGTGCGTGAGGTTGAGAGGTACCGGCTAGATATAGTCGGGCTCACCTCTACACATGGCTTGGGCTCTGGAACCAGTCTCCTGGAGAGGGGCTGGACTCTGTCTCAGTCTGGAGTTGCCCCTGGTGAGAGGCGGCGGGCTGGGGTGGGTATCCTAATATCCCCTCGGCTTGCTGCCGGTACGTTGGGGTTTTTCCCGGTGGACGAGAGGGTTTGTTCCCTGCGCCTTAGGGTCGGGGAACGGGTCCTGACTGTCATCTGCGCTTATGCGCCGAGTGGCAGTTCAGAGTACCCAGCCTTCTTAGAGTCCCTGGGGGGGTGCTGGAGGGTGCTCCACCTGGAGACTCTGTTGTCCTGCTGGGAGACTTCAATGCTCACGTGGGTAACGACAGCGAGACCTGGAGGGGCGTGATTGGGAGGAACGGCCTCCCTGATCTGAACCCGAGCGGTGCTCTGTTATTGGACTTCTGTGCTAACCACAGTTTGGCCATAACGAACACCCTGTTCGAACATAAGAGTGTCCATAAGTGCACGTGGCACCAGGACGCTCTAGGCCGTAGGTCGATGATCGATTTTGTAATCGTATCAGCAGACCTGCGACCATATGTTCTGGACACTCGGGTAAAGAGAGGGGCTGAGCTGTCAACTGATCACCACCTGGTGGTGAGTTGGATCAGGTGGCGGGGGAGGACGCTGGACAGACCTGGTGCACCTAAACGCGTAGTGAGGGTGTGCTGGGAACGTCTAGCAGAGGCCCCAGTCCGCGAGATCTTCAACGCACACCTCCGGCAGAGCTTCAACAGCATTCCGAGGGAGACTGGGGACATTGAGTCCGAATGGACCATGTTCAGCGTCTCCATTGCCGAAGCTGCTGCATTGAGCTGCGGCCGCAAGGTGGTTGGTGCCTGCCGTGGTGGTAATCCCCGAACCAAATGGTGGACACCAGAGGTGAAGGGAGCCACCAGGCTGAAGAAGGAGTCCTATCGGGCTTGGTTAGCCTGTGGGACTCCGGAGGCAGCCGACAGGTATCGACAGGCCAAGCGGAATGCGGCTCGGGCAGTGGCTGAAGCAAAAACTCGGGTGTGGGAGGAGTTCGGAGAGGCCATGGAAAAAGACTTTCGGACTGCCTCGAAGAGATTCTGGCAAACCGTCAGACGTCTCAGGAGGGGAAAGCGGTGCTCTACCTGCACTGTGTATAGTGCTGGCGGAGCGCTGCTGACGTCGACTGAGAAAATTGTCAGGCGGTGGAAGGAATACTTCGAGGACCTCCTTAATCCCACTGACACGTCTTCCGAGGAGGAAGCAGAGTCTGGGGATGAGGGGAATGACCCGCCAATTTCCGGGGGCGAGGTCACTGAGGCAGTTAAACAACTCCTTGGTGGCAGAGCCCCTGGTGTTGATGAGGTCCGCCCCGAGTTCCTGAAGGCTCTGGACGTTGTAGGGCTGTCCTGGTTGACACGCCTCTGCAATGTTGCGTGGAGATCAGGGGCAGTACCTGTGGACTGGCAGACCGGGGTGGTGGTCCCCATCTTTAAGAAAGGGGACCGGAGGGTGTGTTCCAACTACAGGGGGATCACACTCCTCAGCCTCCCTGGGAAAGTCTATGCCAGGGTGCTGGAAAGGAGAGTTCGTCCGTTAGTCGAACCTCGGATACAGGAGGAACAATGCGGTTTTCGTCCTGGTCGCGGAACACTGGACCAGCTCTTTATCCTCTCCAGGATACTTGAGGGTGCATGGGAGTTTGCCCAACCAGTCTACATGTGTTTTGTGGACTTGGAGAAGGCATTCGACCGTGTCCCTCGGGGTGTCCTGTGGGAGGTGTTGCGGGAATATGGGGTGTCTGGCCCATTGCTACGGGCCATTCGATCCCTATACAACCGTTGCAAGAGCTTGGTTCGCATTGCCGGCAATAAGTCGGACTCGTTCCCGGTGGGTGATGGGCTCCGCCAGGGCTGCCCTTTGTCTCCGGTTCTGTTCATAATTTTTATGGACAGGATTTCTAGGCGCAGCCAAGTGGCGGAGGGCTTTCGCTTTGGTGGCCTCAGAATCTCATCTCTGATTTTTGCAGATGATGTGGTTCTGTTGGCTTCATCGGGTGAGGGCCTCCAGCTCGCACTGGAACGGTTCGCAGCCGAGTGTGAAGCAGCGGGAATGAGGATCAGCACCTCCAAATCTGAGGCCATGGTTCTCAGCCGGAAAAGGGTGGAGTGCCCACTCCGGGTCGGGGATGAGTTCCTGCCCCAAGTGGAGGAGTTCAAGTATCTCGGGGTCTTGTTCGCGAGTGATGGGAGAAGGGAGCCGGAGATCGACAGACGGATTGGGGCTGCAGCTGCAGTAATGCGGACGCTGCACCGGTCCGTCGTGGTGAAGAGGGAGCTGAGTGTAAAAGCGAAGCTCTCAATTTACCGGTCGATCTACGTCCCTACCCTCACCTATGGCCACGAGCTGTGGGTAGTGACCGAAAGAACGAGATCGCGGATACAAGCGGCAGAAATGAGCTTCCTCCGAAGGGTGGCTGGCCTCTCCCTTAGAGATAGGGTGAGAAGTTCGGCCATCCGGGAGGGGCTCAGAGTAGAGCAGCTGCTGCTCCACATCGAAAGGAGCCAGCTGAGGTGGTTCGGGCATCTGACAAGGATGCCCCCTGGGCGCCTCCTGGGTGAGGTGTTCCAGGCATGTCCCACCGGGAGGAGGCCCCGGGGCAGACCCAGGACACGCTGGAGAGATTATATCTCTCGGCTGGCCTGGGAACGCCTTGGTATTCCCCCGGATAAGCTGGAGGAGGTGGCTGGGGAGAGGGAGGTCTGGGCCTCTTTGCTTAGGCTGCTGCCCCCGCGACCCGACCCCGGACAAAGCGGATGACGATGGATGGATGGTGCAGATGGTGATTGGAATGAGCCTAATCAGCCTGCAGTTTGTAGATAACCACTTCGCTATGGCGAATGTTAGCTTGTCCTGCTGTCTTGCTATACTGCTCCCACATGCTGCATCTAACATAGTCTTTCGAAAACTTCCGCAACTGCTTGTTTGGGTGGGTGGTTTTCTGGCATCAATAGTGTGTAAAGCATTAAAGTGATATTTCAGGTTTGAAGCACTCCGGTGATAAGAAAACTCAAAATTGCAGTGCTTACAAATGCTGTCTACAACACTGCTGTCTGGAACAGTTTTAGAATAAAAAAGGTCCGTGTAAAAGAGCTGTATCTTTTTTCTGGCTACTACTCCTTTCACCACCTTTTACTTCTCATTAATTGAGCATTTTAAAAATTAATTTTATACTCTAAAGGTGTTTTACACAGCATCTCATGGGACTGGTCATGAATCCCTCATTAAAAAAAGCAGAGAACCACCAGCAGATAACTGTGGGGTCCGGAGAGACTACCTCACCATTTGGACACAAGCTGAGACCTGATGAGCTCCAGCAGTGTCATATAGCATGAAAGTAGTATTTCTAAGTATTGTACTTAATTTGGAAGACTATTACTTGTAGCTGTCAAAATAATGTGATAGAAATTTTTATGCAGAATGATTACCTGTAGGAAATGTTTCCAGATTCAGTTTCCACTTCAGGTTCAAAGATGGATGTAAGCTGGAACATAAAATCCCAATAAAATACACTGAAGTTTTGGTGGTAATGTACCAAAACATGGAAAATTTCAAAGTGTGTGCGGTCTTGGATTCAGAACAATAAAAATTCTGAAACCAAGATTTGAAGATTCACTCTGTTGCAGCAGATATTTAAGCAATTTGATTTAAGGTACCTGCTGAGTCCTGAAATCTTTTTGGACCATCAGCCCAGAGTAGTTTCTCCTCACAATGGCCTTTAAGTTACCTAATATAAGAATATGAAGAACCTATTATCATATATTCACTAGAATTCGCTCACTAAAGTTAAAGCATATTCGGGATCTAAATTGGATCAATATTTTGATACCAGGTTCATTGTTTGATCACAATTGTTTCAGGGTCAGAATAATTTTCTGTATAGTCATATAGCTGTGCCAGTGCCTGAGGGGATGCTGAAGTGGACTGTAGCAGAGAAATGTGATTTATTCATTTACCTGTATAGTTCTTGATCGTGCACCCTTCTCATGAATATTTCAGAGTTGCAAGTATGGAGATTGTAGTGTGATATGGACTTTAGGGTGTTTTTGTTCTCCTCATGGTAATTAATCACGACACTTTCCTATGTGTAATTTGGCCCAATTTCTTGTAGTGTAGACTTTTAATAGTCTTTACCAGTTTATTATGACCTCCATGTGATGTTTATATTAGGTGCATAACTAGTGGCTAGCTTAATTACTTTGTGGAGGCGCGTGAACACCATGTCTATCCTGCTATTGACCTGTGTGGCCACTAGATGGCTCTATTGGATTATATTTGAATAGAGCAAGCCCATAATGCAGGTATGTCAAACTCATTTCACACCATGGGCAGCATACAAGCGACTTTGACATTAATTGGGCCAGACCAGTGAAACGACATGAGAAACGTGTAAAATTCTAGAAAGAGTTCTGGTAATTAGTGATGGTAAATTCGATTCTTTTCACTGAATCGAGTTTGAATGAGTCACTCACCAAAGTGAATCGGGTTTTTTTGATAAGATAAGATAAGATAAGATAACCTTTATTAGTCCCACACGTGGGAAATTTGTTTTGTCACAGCAGGAAGTGGACAGTGCAAAAGTTATGAGGCAAAAATTAGGATACAATAAGAATAAATACAGTACACAACTGTACAGGACAAAATAAAATACTATATACAGTGGAATAAAATAAAATAAATATACAATAAGATAAAAATAGAATACAAATACAAATGCTATATACAACTGAGTAAAAATACAACGATGACAGAAAGGATTATTGCACTTAGTATTATTGCATATGTATGGATGTGTGTGTTTGATCAGTTAAAGTCATTTGAGTCACTGAGTCAGTTGACCAGAGAGTGCAAAAAATGTACATTTTCACACAAACTTGATTTGTTTCTCTTTTCATGTAAATCCTACTGCTAAGATGAGTGATTGAAAAAGAAGAAGAACTATTTTTATAGAGCAAAAAAGAAAAAAAAAGATTTCTAAAGGGAACATTTATTTTATTTATTTTAATAGTATTTTCCTCAAATGTGTCAAATATATATTTTCTCATCTAAATGTCCACTGAGCTGTGAGCCAGGGGGTCAGTAATGCTCCTTAACACTGGTTGCCAAACAACAAGAAGAAGAAGCTGTGAGCCAGGAGGGAGGGGGTGAGTGAGTCCTGAGTGATTCGCTTACACTACGATTCAGCACAGGAAAGGAGGGGGTGAGTAACTCAAATGTGCTGTTAGCATGTTAGCAGAGCTAACTGCTACTGTGAACCGACGAGCTATTGTCTTGATGTGAGCTTCTAACTCAGGGTTTTTTCTTCCAGTTCAGAGCAGAAATGTTTTTGTTAAGTAACTGGCTGTAGTTTTTTCCACACAATTTTAATTATAAGCTAGATATATTTGTACTAATGAAATTAGTTTGCTAACAGCAACAGGGATAAGTCAGTGAGTCAGTTGGGCTTGTGAATCATGATTCAGGAGTCAGTAAAGTGATTCTCGAGTATCGAACGATTCGTTCATGATTCGTACATCACTAGTGGTAATTCATTGCCAGATTAAACAATATAAGTTTTCATTATTTCAAAGAAAGAAAAAATACACAGCAAACCGTAAAGAAATCGGGAACTTTCTCTCATTTTGTTTTGTTTTTTTATCGATGACTTTATTACTTTGGTGTAGTATGAATGAGGGAGCTTCTGTATTAGTAGGAAAAGTTCTAAAACAAGGCCCTACAAATAAGTAGGATTTGGATTTGAAAAGACAAAACACCGCGTCACAGACCCAGGACCATGACACTTAGAGTCTTTTGTGGGCTAATTTTGGATCCTTGGCCTTATGTTGGACAACTCTGCCTTAATGTCTATAAAGCTGGAGGAATTTGCTTCAGACAAACTGTTTGGAATAACACTGATTTACGAACTGTTAACAGTTGTTTAACTAACTTAGGATGTTACTGTCATGGTCCTGAGTCTGTCGACTCAGTGTTTTGTGTTTCTTTATGCTTTTGTTTATTCTTAGTATGTATTCTGTTATGATTTCCAATTTGTTAGGGTTTTGTTCTGTGTCTGCCCTGGTCCCACTGTGTTCTGTCTGTCTATGGTGTCACACTGTCTGCTTGTGAATCTGTCTGTTTAGTTCAGTGTCGTGTCTGGTTCTCTGTGTCTGAGTTTCCTGTTTTATTCTGAAGGTCCCCGTCTCATGTGAGTGTGTTCAATTTACGTTTCCCCTGTCCCGTCAGCTCCGATTTCTCCCAGGTGTGTTGCCCTCCTGTCTCTCATCCCCTGATTACCAGTGTGTGTATTTAAGCCCTGTGTGTTGTCCTGCCTGTTGTTGGTTCGTCTATGTTCCATGGTGTTCAGTTCCGCCGTCTGCGGCGCGCTGCCCTGCACCCCGTTTCTTATGCTCTCAGGTTTGTCATTTAGTTTTCCCAGTTTAGGTTTCTCCAGTCGTTTGTCATTCCTCACTGCCACTTCTGTAAATAAACGTCACTCTCATCACCAGTCAACTGCCTGCATTTTGGGTCCTTTTCCTCCTTCACCACAGGGTCACCCCGGCAGCCGTGACGGTTATATTCATATGTACTTGTCATGCTCCTGAATCAGGCAACCCATTGTTTATGGGTTTTTTTGGGTTTTTTTTTTAAGAATTAATATTCTGTAATATTCTTTAGTTGAGTATTCCTTATGTTTCTGTGTCCCGGCTTTCGCTGTGTCCACGTCCCATGTGCAGTCTGTTGTGTCTCGTGCAGGTTTAGTTCTGTCCCCGTGTTTATTCTTCTGTTTCCCCGTCATGTCTTTGTTTTGTTCAGCCAGTCCACATCTCAATCTGTATCTCTGTTTTTGTTTTTTTGTATAGTCCTTTGTCGTGTGTTCAGTGTATTCAATTTTGCTTCCCCTTTGTCTCGTTCTCAGATTAGTCGCAGCTGTGTTCCCCCCTGTTCCATAGCCTCTAGTTAATTCCACTTGTGTATTTTAGTCCTTCCCCTCTTTCTTGGTGTGTCCCCCACAGTAGCTGTGTTCTTGTCTAGTTCTAGGTTCTCCAGTCATGTAATGTCAAGTCTCGTTGAGTTGTTATTTGTCGAGTTCAAGATCATTAGCCTCAGTTTGTCTTTGTTTCTTTCATTAAGTATTGGTGTATTTTATTCTTAGTTTGTCCTATTTTTAGTAGAATCCTCTGTTCGGATCCAACCCCTGCCTGCCACACAGCTTACCATGACAGTATATTATATTTCATAAAAACTCACATTCCTATGTATGCTATTGTTATGGTACTGTACAAATGCTGGAATATTAATTAATTAGATTGCATTGCCGTCTACATGCATTATAGCTAAGGTGTGTAGGTGTGTGTGTCCTCTTACCTCTCCTCTCTGGGGGAATACTGGAGCGCTGTGTGACTAAGCTAAGCCTTTCTGTATAGCTGTCATCAAGAAGACACACACAAAAGGTCCATTAAGATTAGAGACACCCTGTAGTGCTGCTATGTTTTTTGCGACAATAAACATCATGGCTGACATCAAACATTAATCACTGCCATCCAATCCTAACCAGAAAACTTGTTTGACAGTACAAGAAGAAACAACAGAAATACAGACAAACAGGAGTAAAAACATCAGTATAGTGACAGCTCATGTTTTTACTACTTTCATGCTCTCATGGTTATTTAATATGTTATGTTACTTATTATTTTATGTTAATGCTATAGCTTTGGAAACATCGCACTTAGAGCATATTTGTAGCTTTCATATTATTTGGATTGATCATTTTTAAACATAATGAATCTGCTTGTGTGTATCTCACTGCTGACAGACACCATCCTGCTGTTGAAGTTTGCTGGTGACACAGCAGTGGTGGTTCATCACATTAGTGGTTTTATAGATGAAATGTGAGATTTTAAACTTGGACTAACAACAGTCTGGAGAAAAACATTTTGTTCTTATTTCATTTCACATTGGTTTAAATTACCTTGTGCCAATTGATCCATATAGTGAATCTCTGGTTTGGCCCCCCCTGGTAAAAATAAACACAATAAATAATCTTTACAACAAAGTAAAACAGCTGACATCCGTGATCATTACAAAGTACTAACACAGACTAGAATACTTTTTACATCATACATGCTTCCCTGATCTCATATATTATTAGAAAACACTGCATTGCACTTCCATTGGTACCCAGTTATACAGAAATCCATTAGTTAAACTGCAGGTATGTCTTAAAGACAAATAACTGAATTTAATTGAATTTTCTTCTCGTAAATGTTATCTAAATTCAGAATATAAAATATGATTTTTCATACTTGGGCCAAAAATACAATTTTAAAGATTCCTCACAGTGTTAATAACGTAATGCCATCCAGAGCAAGCATATCATTAGACACCATGTTGAGTATGAGGTGTCCTTCAGTGTGCATATTAAACAAATATGTAGGACTGCTTCCTGTCATTTCATTAATATTTAACATTACTATAATTAGAAACATCTCATCTCAGGGTGAGGCTATGAAACTACTTCTAGCCTGGACTGCTGTAATTCCTTATTATCAGGATGCACTAAAAACTTAGTGAAAAACCTTCAGTTGATCCAAAATGCAGCCGAAGGAGTACTGACAGGGACTAACAGGACAGAGCATATTTCTCCCATATTCTTAGTAGCTTCCTGTTAAATCCCAAGTATAAAGTCAAATATTGCAACAGGACAA